GACGTGAACGGCTTCTGCGAGCGCAACCGCGACGTGCTCTTCACCGACCTGATCGAGCTCATGCAGAGCAGCGAATAGTGAGTCCTGGCAGCACCGCGGTGCTGGGGGCCACCCCAAAAGGGCTGGGGGAGAGGCCAGCATCCTCAACATCCAGACCTTAAAGCTTTGCTGGTCCTGCCTCTGCCAGAGCCCCAGCTCGGGGTGCTCAGCATCCTGCATTGCCCCGCAGGCAGCAGGGGCATCCCTCCAGCAGCACCCAGGGGTGGCAGGGCTGGGCAGAGGGGTGCTCACCCACCAGCACCAATCCTGCTCGGCCTGGGGGCAGTCAGGGGGGATGGGGTAGGCTGAGCCGCGGTGCAGGATTTCCCAGCAGCAGAAAGCAGGGCTGGAGCTGGTTCCAGCTCAGCAGGTGCTGAGCCTTGGGGAGCCTGGCAGCTCTCACCTGGGGACTGTCACCTGCCTTTCAGCGGTTTCATCCAGATGCTTTTCCCAGAAAAGCTTGATTCTGACAAAAAGGGACGACCGACCACGGCGGGCTCCAAAATCAAGGTACGTCCCAGAGGCTGCAGGACAGAAGCTGCCTCTGGAGCAGCAGCAGGGTGATGGGCTCCCAGCACTGCCTTTAACGCTACAGAGGTCGATCCTTGCAACAGAAACAGGCTAACGACCTGGTGAACACGCTAATGAAGTGCACGCCACACTACATCCGCTGCATCAAGCCCAACGAGACCAAGAAACCCCGGGACTGGGAGGAGAGCAGGTAACAGAGGTCCCTCCCAATGTATCGGGTGAGCCCCAGGGAATGGAACCCGGCCATGGAGATGTGGCTGGGACCGACTTTCCTCCAAAACCTGCACCCCCGGGCTGGTCCCTCTGTGCTGCCCATGGACCCAGGAGAGCACAGGGTGGGTGCCGAGGAGCATGTGGGGACACGCACACCTCTCTACGTGCATCCCTCAGAGGCTCCAGCTGAGCCCCAAGAAGCTCTCACGCGTAGACAGCTGAGGGTACCCCCACCCAAAGCGGTGGCCGAGGTCCCCCACGGCCCCGCCGTCCCATGCCGAGCGTGTCCCTCCCGGCTCTGCAGGGTGAAGCACCAAGTTGAGTACCTGGGGCTGAAGGAGAACATCCGGGTGCGCCGGGCAGGTTTCGCCTCCCGCCGCGTCTTCCATAAATTCCTGCAACGGTGAGCGACCAGTGGGATGG